AAACGGTCTGCTCGAGCGGCGGTAGAGTGACATTTGAGCCGTGACTGGCGTTACTGTCCGCCTCTCGTTTGACGGTAACTGTCCTCAAAGGGTCGCTCATCTGGTATTTGAATCTATGGTTTATTAATAATGGGTTTGCGAATCAATGATGTCTTGTTTGAGATGACGGTTGAAATGAATAAAATGTCACAAATAAATGTGGATTTGGTTTTTGAAATTACAATTACATTCTATATAAATATAAGGTGTGTTGACTATAAAGTTAATTGTTGTAATATAACGGCTAAATAACTAGTTTATACTTAATTCTAATTTTTGGGCATTTCATTAATTAACGGGTTTTACTAACAAAACAAATATTCGTTTCATTCGATTCCCGTAGACATAAAAATCGGGTTTAATTATTGGTTCCTTTTCAAACACTAGTCTCGCATTTTTTTTTAGCATATTGCAATAATTAAAATAGTTGCATCACTTTTTCCCGATGTCTAATCATTACTTACTAGAAAACTATTGCTAAAAGTATTTAATGTTAGTTGTATTACTAATTGACAGTATTGTGTTTTGAAAAACCTTTTAGCCAATGAAATGCACTGTTCATTCAAAGTATAATTTTGATTATTTGAATCAAGTTGTTTAAATTGTTAATTATATTTCATAAAATATCACAAATTTAGCCAAATCTCTCCAATCAGTTGTTGAACAATAAACCTAACAATATTTACAAAATTAAATAAACTAAGTTGGTCAATACGCGACAATTAATACATATTATTAAATTAATCACAAATTTGATGCTATTTTAAATTTATATTTCTGTTTAATATGTTTATATCAATGTATTTATCGGCCAAAACCATTGCTGAGTAATTAAATTGATTTACAAATGCTTTGGAAATACTGTAAAACTACTTGAATTACAGAAAACCAATCATTTTTGCGATTCCCATAACAATCGGCAAATATATGATCGAAAAGCATAGAAATGAATGCCAAATACAATCGATTGGGAAAAGCGTTACATTAAAATCACAGCAAAATTGCTGCTATTATTAAAATAATCAAACAAATAGTAGTTTAAATTTGTAAATTATTACTACGAAATGAATAAATCAATGTTTTCATCGGCTAAAACATTCGCAAAGTATAACATCTGTTAAATATATTTATAAATCAATTTAAAATAATATCAATATAATTATAGGATACAAATTTTATCGCATCTCACTTACTTTAGTATTTCGCAAATATATGATTGAAAAACATAGAAATCAAATATAATTACAACCGATTGAAAGAAATATAACACAAAAATCACAACAATTGCTATAAAATTATATTTTGCAAAGAAATATATACAATAAGATAGAAAGTGTGATACAATATATACGGTACAAGTATTTATAAATATATGCCTAAATTATTGTCTTAATATTAATAGCGATGTTAATGTATGTCCACTCGTATTGTTATTATCTCTCTCGGGATCTGATGAAGAGTGCGATGAATGCCATTAGGCGTAAGACAAGGGCCAGAATTACCATCAATATTAGGTTTCGTAACAAATCATTTTCATCGAAACTCAATGAATGAATAATATCCAGACCATCGCTAATACACTTAATAGGCATGTATTGACCGGCCGTACCGTTAATGGCCGGAGGGGTCGGCGGGAATGCCGGGCAATCGGTGAGCTTCAGGTCTCGCCACTGATTGATGATCAATGAGGAGAAGCCGTAGTAAAACCATGAGATGTACTTAAACCACGACAACCACGAGGCAGTTGTACTGCAATTCAAGTGTATTAAATGTATATTAAATTTAATACAATTCAAACATTAGTTAAGTTTTATGACTCTTATTACTCGGCATTGAGGAAGAATCCGCCAAACAGTACAACTGGTAGGAGTAGTGGCGGACCCAAAGACAGGGCCACGTTTGCCGATGAGGTGAGACACGACATGAAGTATCCTATTGTTTATAATAATATTTGCGATAAAACTATTTACGCAATGATTTTTAATGTTATAATTACCAAAAGAGACGGCACATGAAGTGATGAGAATACCGATTAATATAGCGATCAAAAAGGCGCTGATATCCGGATTAAAGCCAACCATATAATAGTAAATGCTGACAAATATGATGGGAATTAACAAAAAGATTGGCAACTATTGGAGCAAAAAAAACTTTAGTTAAATAGCAATTAAATTACATGTTATAAAACATTTTAAAACAATTTTTATAACACTCATACATCTGTCAGCGATTTGGATATGAAATAGACGTCCACTCTATACATGCCGTTGTGGTGTTCGCGAAAAAACAGCGGATTTTCTGCACAGAATGTCTGTAACGGAACAGAATTTACAGAATATTCTGTGAATTTATAAAATGATAATTGATTTTTATTGCATACGTTAATGACAGCCATTGTGTTTTGAAACGACATGTTTGTGACCAATAAAAAGAGAGCGCCATTGATATTCATCACCGACTTCTGGTCCAACTTCTGGTTCCAGTAGACAATCCCCACAATCACGGCTATCACCTAAACACACGGTTAAATCGGACAATAATTGACCATAATTTGTAAACCATGCATTTCATACGTACCACAGTTTGCAAGAGCCTAACCTGGCTGACAGCCGGTTCCCTCAGCACTACAAGCATACACCGCCACAACAGTGTCCGTAACTGTTGGCAATACGAGACCCGATATTTAGGCGGTTTTAACAACATATCGGCGTATGATTTGGGCTTTATTTCAGTGAATGAGTCCTCTCGGCCGGGAGTGGAGGGCGTCGACGCCTCCTTACGATCGCCATTCTGTCCCAATTGTTCACCGTTTTTGGTATAATTGTCACAAATATCCTAATGTTTTAATTAAAAATTACAAATTATACGTATTTAAGAGATGTTTCTATCCTACATTGATTTTTGCTTTGCATTCATCCTCACGGCCCGGAATAATGGCTATAAAAACATATATAATTGCGATTAAAATAGTTTTAACTTTTTCACAAATTCAGTACCGAGTTGTTCAATGTAAAAATCAGCCGGATTGAAATTAGTGGGACATTTCTATGAATAAAAATAATGAAACATTATTTATAATCAATTCAATGTGTAAATAAATTTCAATAACAATACATATCCCAACGATGAAAACGTATTCATGGCTTCGTCTATAGAAATACAAAATTTAATTTAAAAAATGCATTAAAACGCCAAACATTGACACACTTTACCAATATTTCCCATATAAGCCACTCTTCCGTCGGCTATCAGTAAAAGTCGTTCAAAGAGTTTGAAGGCTTGAGACGAGGGCTGATGTATTGTGCAGATAATGGTCCGACCCTTTGCCGCCATTGCGTTCAATGTCTGTACAATATTTTCGGCCATAAATGAGTCCAAACCACTCGTCGGCTCATCACTAATGCAGACAATTGTTAGTAAATTGTGGCTAAAGTATAACCAGTCTATAAGTCTTACCAAAACAGAATCGCGGGATTTGTCATTAACTGAAAGTTAAAAACACAAACAATAGTTTAATATTTGTAGTGAAATGGATATACAGGTGCCTCACCTCAGAAGCAAAAGCCAGTCTCTTGGACTCACCACCAGATATACCCTT